AGCCCAGGGGCCAGGCGCGTAGGCCCCAGCCCCCTTCTCTCTCCCTCTGTCTCAGGTGTGCGTGCCATTGACTGGGGCTGGCCAGAAACCGCTCGGCAAGGATGTCTATTCATGCAAACCATGCAGGTCAGCCTCCGGCGGTGGGGAGAGAGACAGGGTGTGGATCTGGGGAGGTGGAGGGAAGGTACCCAGCACATTGACAGCCCAGCAGCTCTTGGAAGCAGGGCCCTTGGTCCTCTCGCCGGGAAGCTCCACTGCAGGCAGCATTCTCCATGTTAAGAGTGCTTGAAAGCCACCCAGGGAATGTGCATAAGTGCAGTTTCCCGGGACGTTTCCAGACTCTGAGTCAGTGTGTCTTAGCGTGGGTTCACCCAAGGGTGCAGGCGATATCTGGGGGAGGTGGCTGCAGGAAGCGATGATGACAGCGTGAGGAGAACTCAGCGGGAAAGGAGGAGAAGTCAATACACATGAGTGGTGGCAGCGTTGCTGGCCTCTCAGTAGGTAAATACTCCCAGGATTGTTCCCCAGAAGGACAGTCCCCACCGCTCCCAGTTGAGAGCACCGACGCTGGGAGTTGTCCCGAACATGTCCGCATGTGAGCCTTGAAGGCTCCCACAACCAGGGAGAAGATTCTGGGGCAGTATGGGGAAAGGGGTGCTGCACGTACCAGGCGTGGGACCCTGACAGCTGAAGGCGAGTCTGAGCCTGCACGAGACCACCCCCACGGCTGCGGCTGGTCCCAGGTGGGCCTGGGTTGTGACGTGGGCACCAGGGGCCTGTGCCTCTGCCCGACAAGTCCGGTGAAGGGCCCCAGGCCCGCTGCAGGTGCCCATCGCAGGCGCTCCTGAAAGAGACGCTCAGTAAACCACACCTGGGAAGATCCAAGGAGAATGGAACACTTATGTTATAGGTACCAGGGGCTGTGAGTGAGTCAGGATTCCCTCAGGAGAGGGAATGAGTGGCTGATTGTGCTGACATATCATTTTGGGTGTATCAGTTATCTACTGCTGCGTAACAAGTTACCCTCAAACATCTGGTGCCTGAAACAGTGATAACCGTTTTATCATCTCACGCAGTATCCATGGATCAGATTTTGAGGTGGCTCAGCTGGGAGGTTTTGACTTGGAAGTTTCTCAGAGGTTGCATCCAGGTGTCGGCTGGGGCTGCATCCTCAGAAGGTCCTTGACTGTGACCATGGGGTCTGCTTCCAAGATGGCGCGCTCACATGGCAATCGGCAGGAGGCCTGGGCTCCTCACCGTGTAGACCTCCCTCCTCACCATGTAGGCCTCCCTGCCTGGGTGCCCTCACAACATGGCAGCTGGCTTCCCCCAGGGTGTGGGATCTCAAAGAGCAAGGCAGAACCCACAATGCCTTTTATCACCTAGCCTTGGAAGTCGTATTCCATCATTTCCATGAGATCCTGCTGGTCACACAGGCCAGCCCTCTTCTCGGTGGGAGAGGATGACACAGTGTAAGGATACCAGGAGCCTTGGATCACTGGGGGGGCACCTTGAAGGCTGGCTACCACCCCAGTGTTTGCACAGAGCCTGGCAGGTACAGCTGGTCAATTAGTGTCTGGCAAGTGCCAGCTGTGTCCCGGCATCAGGCGGGGCTTGACACAGCCCCTACCCCCAAGGGCTTGTATTATTCTTGGAAATGTAAGCTAGAGACTGAATCAGGAGAGGCCAGCACAAGCTAGTGCTCAAGAGAACCATAAATGAATAGACTCATGGAGCTCACCATGGCCCCAGAGGTGGTCCAGACACCTTCCTGGCAGGCAGAGAACTGGCTGAACCCCTGTTCGCACCTGGAGGACAGGTTCCTTGGAAGCTGGGCGCAGGAGGCCTTGGGCCTCTAGCCAGATGGCTGGGTGACATTGAGCTGGTCCTGTCCCCTGTTTCCTGACCAAAGGCTGACACCACCCAGGATAGTTGCTCCAGTTTGGGACAAGCCTAGAGGCTGAGAGCTGGACAGGCCCTGAAAGACCATCAGGTCTCACATCTGATATGTGATCACATACAGAGAGAAAAGGGGGTGATCTAAGGCCCCTGGGAAACTAAGACCCACTAGGCACCCACTTTGAGCCAGGCCTTGTGCTGGAACCTTCACCCCCATTGTGCCATTTAGTCTTTACAGAAACCCTGAACCACAGGAATGATAAAACCCCATTTTACAGAAGAGAAATGAACTGTCTGGAGTCAGAGCTGAGTAGCAGTGGGGCCTAAACTTGAACCGTGGTCTCTCTGACCCTGAAGGCCTTGCAGGGTAGAAGGTAGACAAACGGAAGAGTCGGACATCTGTGCCCCCACCAACAGTGGGCTCTGGAGACCGGGTTTATCTCCAGCCCCACCAGCCCCGGCGCGAGCTCCCTGGATGGTGCCAGGGACACATGGCCGTGTTTAGCAATCCCCAGTGGAGCTGGCCACTCTGGGGTGGAGCACGAGGTGGGGACACGGCGGGGGCTCTTGGCTGCCTCCACGGCCCCCGTTGCAAGAAGGGCAGCCGCCATGTGAGACAGTTATTGCCACACGAGCAGGGCTCAGCATCTCCGAATAAGGCCAGTGGGGACTCGGGGGACCTGAGCTCTGGTGCAAAGACTCAGATGATCAGCACCAGAGTTGTGCAAGGGATTGGGTCAAGGGTTTGCCGATAAACAGGGCTGGGTTCCTTAGATACGAACACAACAAGCTGTTCCTGGGTATCCAGTGGGGTGGCAGCCACCGGCCAAGGCACTGGATACACATTATTTCACATTTTCACAGCATTCCTGGGTTGGGGGAGGCATCTTTATCTCTCCTACAGATGAGGAAAGTGAGACTGAGGAGGGAAATGACACAGTCACAATTCTTTAGGGTCTGAGTCAGAATTGGAGCTCAGGGCTACGTGACTCTCCGGCTCCCACCCCAGGCTGCCCCCTCGTTCCTAAGGACAGGCTCCCTGAGTTGAGAATGGATGGTCAGAGGGGAGACCCTCTGTGCTTACAACAGGATCCTTCACGCAGCAGTCTCCATGTTTGCAGTTTCGCCCAGGGGTTAAACATGGGGCGTTAGGTGTCTGACAAGCATTCAAGTCCTGCCACTTGCAAGTTTTGTGGCTCCGGGCAAGCCTCTTGGCTTGGGTGAGTCTTTGTTTCTTCCGGCCCAGAACCAGCTAAGAATCTGTGCTGCGGGCTGTCCTCAAAGGCTGATGAGAGATTGGGAACTCCATGCCCCGCATCTTGAGCTCCACAAGAGCCTGGAAACCGCTTAGCGGGACAGTTGCTATCTAACTAACTTTCGAATCTGCGGAGCACGGAGTCTGGTGCACTCCAACCCATAGCGAGAGGCCCCCTGTAAATGTCACCGCCTCTGAGAAGCCTCCCTTGATTCCACTGGCCCTCTTCACCACATTCTCAGCTCTGCATTCCTCTGAGGCCCTGGACAGACCTCTGTGTTGGCATTTATCAGGTTGGAGATGAATACAGTTTCTTGGCAAAGAGCAAGACAGACCTGGAGTCCAGTCCACCTCTGCCTTTCTAGCTGTGCTGCCCTGGACAAGTGACTCCACGTCTTTGATTGTCAGCATCCTTTTCAGGAAATAGGAATGGCAACCCTGTCTTCTCAGGGTAATTACGAGAATGAAGTGCTGTTCATGCTCTTAGCACAGGGACTGACACAAACTAAATGGGTAATAAATTCTGTCACTGGAAGGACTGATACTGAAGCTGAAGCTCCAATACTCTGGCCACCTGATGCAAAGAACTGACTCTTTGGAAAAGACCCTGATGCTGGGAAAAATTGTGGGCAGAAGGAGAAGGGAGCGACAGAGGATGAGATGATTGGATGGCATCACCGACTCATGGATGTGAGTTTGAGCAAACTCTGGGAGATGGTGAAGGACAGGGAAGCCTGGCGTGCTGCGGTCTCTGGGGTCACAAAGGGTCGGACACGACTGAACGACTCAACAGCAACTCATCGCTGTCAGTGTTGCACTGTTGCTGTCATTACTGCTGCTGTGGTGCAGATACCCTTTTGTCCACCCGTCTCTCCCCTCCGGCTCTGAAGTTGCAGATAGCCTGGGAGGACCTAGGAGCCTGGCCCCTGCTGGTCATCTGTTAGGCACCAGTCTCCAGCCGGGGGCTTCTGTGATCCCATTCCACGCTGCTGGCCTGTGGCATTCTTGTCATTCTTGCGGAGAAACCCGTCGGAGCCCAGAGAGGTAAAGTAACTTGCCGAAGGCCGCACACCATGCAAGAGGTGGAACCGGTCCAGCTCTTCCCAGCAAACCTATCACATTCATCTCTGCATCCCGGGGACCCGAGAAATGCCTGCTGATGAATGAGCAGCATCCAGGCTCAGGCCGTGAAGCAAGACGTTCAGGAGGGGGTCTGCTTAGGCCCCGGGGCTGTGGACTTTGCAGAGGCAGATAAGGGCCCTCCTCCAGTTTGATGCAAACGCTCCTGCCGGTACAGACGAAGACAGCTGGACACACAGCCTCTGGAATTCTGTCCCTCCCTGCCCGGCCCAGCCTCCTTGCTTCGCACACCTTCCCATGGGGACCGTCCACCTCAGCCCAAGACCTGGGCTCAGAGTATCCCCACCCCCGTGTTCTGCTTCCGGGCTTTGGGGGAATATCTTTCATTTATTTTTCTTTACCAGGCAATTCATTTTATTTTAGGAAAAAAAAAATATATACTTAGCAGAGAATGAAAGTTTCTATTTATTTCAAATATTCATTTCACAATGAAGACTGGGAAGTTAAGAATCAATCACAGCAGGACACAGAAAGGCATTAACAACTCCCAGACTCCCAGTCTAAGTGACAGTGTGTTGTTTAGTCGCTAAGTCGTGTCCAACCCTTTGTGACCCCATGGACTGCAGCTCTCCAGGTTCCTCTGTGTGTGGGATTTTCCAGCCAAGAATACTGGAGCAGGTTGCCATTTCCTATTCCAGGGGATCTTCCCCACCCAGGGATCGAACCTGCATCTCCTACAAGTCTCCTGCGTTGGCCGGAGGATTCTCTACCACTGAGTGCACCTTGACTTTTTTTTTTCTTTAATCAAAATGCTGTTTGGAAACTGCTTCATCATCTTAAAAAAAATGTTGGGAGAAAAATAATCCCTGTTGGTGAGGGGTGAGGTGCACACTGCGGGTGACACGCAACAGGAGCCAACAGCCAGCACTGCCGACCTCTGGCGGGGGTTCCTCTCTGATGACGTTTCTCTGCTGTAGGTGATACAGGCACGGCCGTGGCACAGCGCTTGAGCAGAAGAGCCAGCCTGTTTTCTTTCTAAATCAGACGAGGATGTTTTCAGGGTGGGAGGTCGTGGGAAGTTGAAGCAGGGCCTCTGATCGTCTGCAGGACTCACTGGTCTGCCAGAGGCAGGCAGCTCCATCCCCATGGCAAAGACAGGGTACAGAGGATCCCCAGTCACAGTCACAGCTCCAGCACCTACCCCTCTTTCATGGCCTCCATGCCGTAGGCACATCAGCAGCTCAGCCACCTCCAGGCCACCACCCAGGTCCCCAGTCTCCGTAGCTAAGGCCCCTTCCTTCCCACTTCTGTCCCCCCCTCCCCCTTCATCCAGAACCATGCAGCAGCATCACCTCTGGGACCACAGGCTTCTTTTAGGGGAGAAAAGGCCAGTAAATTCTCTGGGAGAAGCTGACATGGGAGGGACGGAGATGAGATCTCTCTTCCTGCGTCTCTTACAGGAGCAAGAACAAGTCAGGAGTTAATAGGCCGACATGTCGTCCCGCCTGAAGCTAATACCCACAGTAAACAGACACATAACCGCTCTTTTGTAACCTCTTTCCATTCCCTTCCTTCTTCATGTTTTCTCTCCTATTCAAGCTCTTCTCCTTCTCCTCCCATTTCCCGGCCACTCCAGCCCTGGGTGGCCTCGCCCTCTCTTGAGCTCCAAGGCCACGGGATCCCAGATCTTAGGGCCCCTGGACGAGGCGATTCAGGCCGCTGCTGTGCACGCTGGTTTTGGCTGGCCTTCAAGCACCATGGGCCCTAGGTGGAACCCAGGAGGAAACAGCCAGGGACTAAGCAGGAGCCACTCTTGACCAAGAGGTCCCAAGTTGGACGGACAACACCTGTCCGCAGACCTAATCTCCTTTGGTGCAACATAGAGGCTCCTTCTATGCTGGTGCATCTATGGGGCCTGACCAAGCATCAGCCCGAGCTTAAGGGCACTCCTGGTGTCTGTGGGCTGCCGTGGAGAGGTGGGGGGGATGCAGAGAAGCTTGGACAGCCCCTGGAACGTGGGCAAGCCCACGGCGGCCAGCCGGCAGCCAGCGTCCCAGTGAGTGGTGACAGCCGCTGGGCAGGGTGGCCCATGAGCAGGCGGTGCAGAGACGGGAGGTCTCAGAGCATCTGGAGGAGGTAAAGGTGGGCGCTGGGTGGACAGTGTCCAACCCCTGTAGCCACAGAGTGGCCTTCTGAGTGCCCGAGCCCCTCCTGTGGCTTCACGCAGTTGACCTGGTTTGTTAGCCGCTCAGTCGTGTCCGACTCTGTGACCCAATGGACTGTAGCCCGCTAGGTTCCTCTGTCTGTGGGACTCTCCAGGCACGAATGCTGGAGTGGGTTGCCGGTCCCTTCTCCAGGGGATCTTCCCGACCCATGGACCAAACCTGGGTTCTCCTGCATTGCAGGCAGGTTCTTTACCATCTAAGCCATGTGCTTTAGCTGTAGCCTCATTCAGGCTGCAGCAGGCAGTCAAGACGGAGAACTCAGAGGAAGGAACCACTCCTATCACTTGTCTTCCTTGTTTTAAAAAAATTTATTTGGCTGCGCCGGATCTTGGTTGCAGCACGTGGGCTCCTAGTTAACGGCACACAGGGTTTCGTTCTCTGACCAGGGTTGAGACCACGTCCCCAGCACTAGGAACATGGAATCTTAGCCACTGAACCACCAGAGAAGCCTTCCGTCACCTCTCTTTTTATGTGCTCATGCATATTGACTCATGTGGGCTCAGGTCACTCATTCACATCCGAGTCTTTGCAGCCCCATGGACTGTAGCCCACCAGGCTTCTCTGTTCATGAGATTTCCCAGGCAAGAATACTGGAGTGGGTTGCCATTTCCTTCTCCAGGGGATCTTCCCGACCCAGGGTTCGAACCTGTATCTCTTGCATCTTCTGCATTGACTGGCAGATTCTTCACCATTAGTGATAGCTGGGAAGCCCCCATATTGACTCATGGTAACGGTAAAATGAGCAGCCCCTGCCCTCACCAGCACAGCATCCAGCTGATGACTTTCTCACTGCCAGTGCCATCAGGGCTTCCCTGGTAGCTCAGCTGGTAAAGAATCGCCTGCAATGCCAGTTCAAGTCCTGGGTCGGGAAGATCCGCTGGAGAAGGGATAGGCTGCCCTCTCCAGTATTCTTGGTCTTCCCTTGTGGCTCAGCTGGTAAAGAATCGCCTGCAATGCCAGTTCAAGTCCTGGGTCGGGAAGATCCGCTGGAGAAGGGATAGGCTGCCCTCTCCAGTATTCTTGGTCTTCCCTTGTGGCTCAGCTGGTAAAGAATCCTCCTGCAATGCGGGAGACCTGGGTTCGATCCCTGGGTTGGGAACATTCCCCTGAAGAAGAGAAAGACTACCCACTCCAGTATTCTGGCCTGGAGAATTCCATGGACTGTATAGTCCACGGGTCGCAAAGGGTCGGACACGACTGAGCGACTTTCACTTTCACTTAACTTTCGGTGTCATCACCATGAACCCAACAGAGCAGCTACTGTAGAACGTGTTGTTGTTCAGTCAGTAACTGAGCAACAGGTAGACCTCAGTTCCCTGACTGTCCTGCTTCTTTCTTTGCTGGGGGCTGGACCTCTCATGAGTGGCAGGTTTCAGCTGTGCTCCCCGCTCCCCTGAGCATCATCTGCTGTCTGATGACTGAGGCATCACCTTGTTAAAGCCCTGTGCGTGATTGCATCATTTCTAAATCCACCAGGTGGCCAGCACATCTCAGGCTCCAGTTGGCTTTTGTGCTTTCATTCAGTCATGGAGATCGGGGAAGGGGCCTGGAGGAGACCCATTTCCCGGTCGACTCCAGCATAGCTGCCAGCAGATCAAGTCCCCTCTAGCAGCGTTTCTCCCTTGCTCACACACCTTCAGTGTCTCTCTGTGACCTACAGGATAAGATTACAAGTCTCACCCACCGTAGAAGGTCCTCACAGTCTGACCTCATCTGACCTCTCCAGCCTCATCTCCTACCCCAACCACACGGGGCCACAGAGCCTTCTCCAGCTGTTCCTGGTCCGTTCAGCAACCCAAACCCTCCCTGGGTCTCTCTGTAGTTCTCCCCCAGCACTTTTATTCTGATCCTTATCAAATTGGAACTTAGATTCCCCCAGGATTTTATCCACCCATCACAGAGACTGCACCTTCCTGGGGTTGGAGGTGTGTCTTAGCTGAGAATCCTCTGTACCCTGCACTCAGTAAATACCCAGTCATCACGCCAGATGCTTTTTACAAACAGGAACTCTAATCTCTGTGTGTGTCTGTGTGCACAGTCGCTCAGTGGTGTCTGACTCTTTGCGACCCCATGGACTGTAGCCCGCTAGGCTCCTCTGTCCACGGGATTCTCCCAGCAAGAGTACTGGGGTGGGTTGCCATGCCCTTCTCCAGGGGATCTTCGTGACCTAGAGACCCTACCCACGTCCTTTTGTATCTCCCACATTGGCAGGAGGGTTCTTTACCACTGCGCCACCTGAGGAGGTGTAATCACCACGGTAACCTCGGAACCCAGACAGTGCTTTCCCCAAAATGAAGTCTCAGGCTAAGCAACTTGCCCCAACGTCGCATCCCCCTAGCTTCAAAGGCAGAACTCTTTACAGTGCGTCCATACTACAAAAAAATAAAAATAAAAAACCAATGACTCTGCTTTACCAGAGCAGCATTACCTGGACCTAAGCCCACCCACCTCTCATGGGACATCGTGTTTCGTTTTGTTTGTTTTTTGGAGCTCGCTACCTGGACAGACACCCCCCCCCCTCACTTTTCTGAAATTTCAGGTTTCCTCCACTGTTACCGGGCTTGGTATTAACAGCTTCCTTCTTGGGCTGATGAAGATGATACACACACAGCATAGGGCTGCTGGTAAGCCTTCTTCCTTCCTGGGTGACGGCTGAGCAGTGCTGACTGGCGCAGGGCAGGGGGCAAGGCCCTGTCCTTCCTGAGGGCCCCCGGCATCACACATCTGGTTCATCTGGGCGGGGGCGGGGCCAGGAGCCCGGCTCCCTGGTCACTGACGAAATGTGTCTGTCCCGGGTCTGTTGGGCAACGCGGCGCCTGGAGACGAAGGCGAGGTAGGGGTAGCTGCTCCCCGCCACCACAGGCCCCGCCGCCGGGTCCAGGCAGCTTGAGCAACCCCACCCCCACCCACACCCCGACAGTTGCTCCATCTGCAAACGGGGCGACGATGCCCCCGGGTGCCGAGTTGCACCACGTTCTTAGAAAGCGGCCTCTGTACACGCATTTCCATCTGGTCCCCGGCCTGGTTTTGTTTAATCAGTGTCTTTCTCACTTCCAAATTTGTGAGGGCAAATCGGGCGACGAGATATGGTGAAACGATGGTGATTAGCCAACTTTCCCCGAGCATTCACCCCGCACCCTGCCCGCGGGGCCGAGGAGGAGGCCGTACGTGCGAGGCGCGCACCCCGACCCTCTCAGTGGGCACCGCTCTCCCCGCCCCACCCGCGGAGGAACACGCCGGCTTCCCTGGGGCGAAGTGTCCCTGGCGCGCTCACACAGCTGGGCCATAAACGCCGGGGGCCAGGGTGCGAACTCGGCCGGCGCGATTCCGGCCCTCTTCCCGCTGCTCCGTGCTTCTCCCCACGAGGGCCGAGAACCTGGGCTCTGAGATTGCGCTATTCCGGGTTGAATCTCAGCAGTGCCTGGGTCCCCAGCAGGCCCTGCCTTCTATCTCAGCCTCACTTTCTCCGCCTGGAGAATCAGTGGGTTATAACAGATCACGCATGTGAGTGTAAGCGTGCTCAGCCGTGTCCAACTCTTTAGACACCATCGGCTGTAGCCCGCCAGACTCCACTGTTTTGGGGATTCTCCAGGCAAGAATACTGCAATGGGTTGCCACACCCTCCTCCAGGGGATCTTCCCTACGCAGGGATTGAACCTGAGTCTTCCACATTGGCTAGCAGATTCTTTACCACTGTGCCAACAGATCACTGGTTCTCAGATGTTACCTTTAGCTTTTTTTAAAAAAATAGAATGCTTCAAACAGGTATGGTCTGCATTCAGGCAGGAGGAAACTTGGTAGGATGAGGGAAACGTTCTCCAAGTGGATTGTGGTGATGTCTTCTCTGAAAAGCCTTAACTTGGACAGTTAGAATGGGTGAATTTTATGGCAGGTAAATTATCCCTCAATCAAGCTGTAAAGAATTATACTGTTTCATGAAATAGTGACATTCAACCCCCAGGACCCCACCGGATTGTTTGAAAAGCCTCGGGCCCTGTGGACTCTGGATGGCCTTCAGACTCTGACCTTGGGGGACCCTGAGGTCATTTTAGTTCACTCTCTACAGCGGGCTCTGGATTCTCTGGGGAGACACGGATGTGATCCAGCCCAGCCG